TAGTAGTAGTAGTAGTGGTACTAGTAGTAGTAGTAGTAGTAGTAGTAGTAGTCGTAGTCGTAGTCGTAGTCGTGGTGGTGGTGCTGGTGGTGGTGGTGGTGGTGGTGGTAGTAGTAGTCGTCGTCGTTGTTGTGGTGGCAGTAGTAGCTGTAGTAGTAATTAGTGCTAGTAGGGAGTAGTAGTAGTAGTAGTAGTAGTAGTAGTAGTAGGGAGTAGCAACAGTATAGGACTAGCGGCAGCACCTTCCTCGGCAGTAGGACGACGGGAAGTAGCAGTAATGGTAACCCTAGCCCTAATCTACTAAACCCTTTTTTGAATCAGGACTTGCGCAATCGCTTTCCCCTAAGCCCCCAAACCCTAAGCCCCCAAGCCCCTAAACCCGTGACGGCGTCTCGCTATGTGGAGCCAGGAGCACCTGCTTTTTTATTTTCACACTTGCTTCTGTCGGACCGAAGTTCGAAGTTTCGGTCGGTCAGAACATGTTTATAATGTTATATAGTATATTAATATAGTATAAAAGAGTATAGTAAAATATACTGCTTCTTGTAATGTTATATATTACATTAATGTAGTATAAAAGAGTATTGTCTAATATACTGCTTGTTTGTTGGTCGGGTTCGTTCGTATGATAGTAGTCCTTGGTGAGATGCAAGAGCAAGGTTGAAATCAAAGGACAGGGAATAGATCGGATAGTTTGACCGTTTAGGTTTAGCGATGGGGCCGGGTCGCAGCACAGGTACAAGCCGGAGTCGACCCGTTTGCTTTTGCGAATGCCGGCCATCCAAGATGGATGCTGGGCCCAGGGAAAAGAAGCCATGTTTGAATGAAACATGGTTTAAGTTGCCGCCCTCTAGCTGCAGCATTCTGCAGCAATGTCCTGAAGCCCTGTGAAAATGGGCCGTGCTGTGGATGTAATTTTTTAGTCAGTGGCAACATGCAGCGGTTTACATCTGAACAGAATCTGTCTGACACTAACGACAACACATAGACGGTACACACCACGTAATGCACCCGTTGTGGCAAAACGGATAGATGTAGCTGCTATGATTTCGGTGCCAACTTGTACTGGAAATAGCCCCGCAGCCCATGGGTAGTGCTCTAAATTAGGGTTGCTTTTAGGATCCTTTTTGTGCCGCCGTACCGCATCTAAGGCTTTTTAAAGGACCTCACAAGGGACCCTGGTGTAAAGAACTAGCCCCATGTCCTGAAAGCCTTGTTCGGGTGAGTTCCTTCATCCGAATGACCTATCGAAGCAAGACGGAATCGCTCTAAGCTATCCACAGTCGCAGGTTGCGGGATGTTGCTTGGCATGGTCCCTCTTGGAAGTCTAGTCAGTGTTAGGCGTGTTTAGCATGGTATGGTGAGTTCACAGCTTGGGTGTTTAGATTTAGGAGTAAGCCTAATATAGAACCTTAAATGCAATCTTTTCAAGCACCATCGTATAGAGCCCTTATGGCCCCTATATTGTTATAACCAGGCATTCCGGCCGCTTCTTCCCATGAGGCGCTGCGGGACCTGAAGCATGAGGGTGGAGGGACTAGTTTGCATTGGAGCGGCACCTCTAGGCAGGCCAGCCGTTTTAGTGGACGAGGTCCCCAGATGTTCCACTTTGCAGCGGAGGGTTTAGCCGCAAATCGTGAGCCGAGCTTGATGTTCAAGTGGAACAGCGGCACACGACCCCAGACGAATAGCATCAGCAATGACTGTAACCGTTGTAATCGTTTGCCTGCTTAACAGTTTCGCACTGGCTCCCAGGTGGCGCAGACCAAGTGGCTCCGGTTTTGGCACCAAAACCCTCCCTAAAGTATACCGACCCGTCGCCGCATCCAGGGGGAGAGTTGATTGAAAGTGGTGGCCTTTCAGGAGTGAGCTCTACCCAACTCTATTCACTAGACTCTATCCCGACACCAAGCTAAGACGAAACGGTTTTTTGTGGGTAATAACTACAAGCGATAGTTTTCAAATCTTTAAGTGTGGTCTGAGGGTACTGTCCCCACAAGTGTGCCGGCGAATTGCTCATGGTAAACCTAACTCACGTCAGATGCCGGTGACTCCGGCAAGAACACAGCCCACGATCAACAGCCAGCACTTCAAGTCCGAAATGACACGCATGCACCGCAGGGTGCAGACTTTGAGACTTCGGGGGCAGGGCGGGTTCACCATTTTGCTGAAGTTAAGCCATCCAAATTTATACGCTTCCAGGCACGGGATCCCCTGGCTCAACATGCAAATTGGGGGTTCAACATGCGCAGGTGGGTTTCCGAGATGCAAACTTTGTGGCTTGCCCTGGGGTTTAAGATCCAACGTGGGTTTTCAAGATGCAAACGGCTGGGGTTGTGGTAGAATAGTAACCGGCACAGGTCGGTTTCCGAGATGCAAACAGCTGGGATCGTGTACTGAAATTTAATAGAATAGTAAAATCCTGGTTCAACATGCAAGGTCGGGATTTCGAGATGCAGACAGCTGGGGTCGTGGTAGAAGAGTACAAGAGTAAATACTAAAGGTAAATGGTAAATAGATAGTAATTTCTACCTCAATCGGCACAGGACGGTTTCCGAGATGCAAACGGTTGGGGTCGTGGTAGAATAGTATAATAGTAAATAGTAGATAGTAAAGTAGTAAAGATTAAACTAGTAAATACTAGAAAAGGACAGTACTGAAATAATAAAATAGTAAAGCAATAAAATCCTCCGGAACAGGTCAGTTTCCGAGATGCAAACGGCTGGGTTCGTGCTAGACATAGTATAAGAACAATCAATAGTCAAGTAGTAACTCGTAAAATAGTAAATAGTAGAAAAGTACAGTACTGAAATAGTGAAAAAGTAAAACAATAAAATCCCGGCTCAACCGGCACAGGTGGGTTTCCGAGATGCAAACGGCGGGGGACGTGGTAGAATAGTATACTAGTAAATAGTAAGGTAGTAAGCAGTAAAGCTGTAAATAGTAGAAAAGTACAACACTGAAATCTTAAAATAGTAAAATAGGTTCAAAAAACAGTCCCGGCTCAACATGCAAGGTTGGGTTTCCGAGATGCAAACCTGCTCGGTGCCATGCATGTCGCTTTGCATCTCGGAAACCCAACCTTGCATGTCGAACGCTGCAGTCCCAAGCATAGCTAGCATGCATGACGGTGGCCTTAAGTTGCAGCATTCCTGGAGGTGTTTCGGAATGGACCTCGAGCGCTCCTGCTGCCGCATGTGGGAAGAACTGGCGTGGACCCAGCGAGCTGTCCGTTCAAGGTTTGAGTTGCGCTCCGACATCGTCGATTGGATGGTGCAGCTTGCCCTGCCTTCCGGCTGATGGCACAAGCATTCTGGTTGGAAGATCGCAAGGTAGGGCTCGCTGAAACGAACTTATAGTTCCAAAGCTTTAGCACGAAACCCTGCAGCCTAGGGCAGCAAGTCTAACAACTCCCGAGCTGGGAAATGTTTCAAACTGTTTGGGAAACTCCAAAATTTTTCTTTGTTAGAGAGGTACCCTAAACCCTAATACCCTAATACCCTAAACCCTATTCATAAATAGTTTTGGGGGCACCAAAATTACAACCCAGTGAAGCAGGTGGCGGATGGAGCTTGGCAGGCCACGGTGGAGATGAAGAGCCTTTTCCAAGATCACGAGCCGGTCTCGCGCTTAAAAGACTTCGCGGGGAAATCCTAAGCGATGAACCCTGAATCCTACTGAGTCCTACTGGTAAGCCCTGAAACCTAAAGCAGGGCTTAAAGGTTTCAGTGTTCATGGGTGTTGGGACTCCTAGGCTTGCTTGGGGCATTTGGAGTTCAAATTAAGGCCTCTACATTATTCGGAGCTTGTTGTATTTGACCTCGCAGCTTTGGAGTTAAGGCAGCTTGTCAGATTGGGGTCTCGAGTCTCAGCGCACTGTTCCGGGGTGCGGAGTCAGGTCTATGTGTTTTTTCTGCAGTTCAGCCATGTCACGAGCCAGGAGACCAAACATGGCCTAACTCTTTATGTCATGCTGCCTTTTTCAGGGAGAACTCAAGGCTTCCATACACAAAACCTTAGACCCTAAGGTCCCCGTGCGAGCCCTTAGAGCCGTAAACCTGCCTCTGCACTCCTACTGTTTACTTGGGAAGCCCTTGTAATCGGCCATGGATCCTGCTTCCCTGTAGAGGCAGAACTCCATAGCGTGACCCGTTTCTCTCTGCCGGGCCGAGATGGGAAGGCCGAGCGAGACGAGCGAAGAGTCCATCGTGGACTTGAAGGTGCCTTGCGAGAGGCAAGACAGTGGCCCCAGCCAGAGTAGCGACGGCACTGCACCAAGTCGATGGGGATTGGGTTCCGGCGAATCCGGGGCATCTGATTCGGACCTCGTGGAAGCGATGATACCAGCTCTGGTAGAACGGATTGCCAGGATGGATGTGTTAAACCCAGAGGTCTTGAGGGTGACGCCGGTGGTTGGCGCCTTGGAGAATTTTGCTGTAGCATTGCGTGTTGGATCTGCTGGGAGTTTCTACCAGAAGAGTCACAAGAGCCAAAAAATATCGACATTTTGGAGTCACTCTTGGCATGGAGGGCATTGGAAGAAGATCTTCGCCATTATAACTCTCTACAACGGCACTGCTGCAGTATTGCTGTCGTTGCTCACCGGGGCGTGCATGATGTTGCTCTTTGGTCTGAGAACCCTTCCTGGAATTGACCGTGGATGGTTGGATGAAACTGTTCAGTGGTCTTGCTGGTCAACATTTTCAGGGTTCGTCGTCGCAAGTCTTGTCATGATGTTCTGGCAGCCACGCACTGAAGTTTTCCTTGACCGTATATGTATCAGCCAAAACGATGATCGCTTGAAGGCAGAGGCCATACTCAGCCTGGCAGGACTTTTGAAAAAATCCGACAGAATGCTCATTCTGTGGGACCCGACATGGACTCAGAGGTTGTGGTGCTTGTTCGAGCTTGCCGCCTTCCTGAAAAGCAAGACGTCGTCACAACAGCACCTCATCGTCAGGCCCATCTTCATGGGCCCTCTTTCCATCGCAGTCTATCTTACTTTTGCTGCCTTTGCAATGCCAATGGCAGTAGTACCTCTACCTGGCTTCGACGCAAGAACCGTCGCGCAGCTGCTGTCAGCCATTGTCTTCTGCATGCTCGTGGTTGCAGTCCCGACTGTCAGCACCATCCGAAGCTACTTTCGCGACTTGGACACCATGACGCTGCAGTTGTCTTCGATCTCTGTTGATTCTACAAGGAGTACATGCTGTGATACACATCATGTGACCCCTGAGGGTGGACGCATTCTTTGCGACCGTAAGATCGTGAAAGAGTGTGTGAAGATTTGGTTTGGCAGCGAGCTAACTTTCCAGGACACGGTGCGCGCTGAGGTTCTAGACATTTTGAACCGTAATCTTACTCAGAAGGTATTCAGTACTCCATGGGCTTTGGGAGTGACTTCTCCAATCATGCTGGCTTTCATGGACGTCTCTGTCAGTTTTGCTCACCTTGGCAGTCTTTGGGAGCCGTGGGATCATAATGCTGTTGCCCTTCTACTCGAAGGATTGACGATTTGGTTCCTATTCGTCCCAGCCAACAAGGACCTCTTGATACTTTTGATAAGGATTGGTCGGCGGAGACCAAGGAGTACTTGTCTTGAGCTCCTTAAGAACCTATCGGTGTTGGCAGCAGCTGCTGTCCCTGCACTTGCATTGATAGTAGCTTATGGCCTCACTCGTTTCACTATCTATGTCGAAGCTGCAGGTCCGGGTCTTAATGCAGTGGGTTTTGCATGCTGCACACTGCTCATATCACTGTGCAACTTCCTCGTAGGACTTGGCCTGAAGGCATTGTTACGCCGGCCTGGTTGGTAATTTCCATGCACTCCGGCGCTCCGAAGCATCGCAGGATGTGACCCTAATAGGGGTTGCCTCTGTTGCCTCCAAGTTGTCTAGTAAGTTGGCCGCCTGCTGAAAGAGAGCCACCTAGTTACCTATGTAGTTCAGTATAGCTGGCTTAGAAGAGGAAGTGTATGGAACGACATGATGGGACGTAGCTCGTGAGAACTGCCACGGTGCGTGATTGAGTCGAGAGCTGGGATGTGCATGTTTTTTGAAGGAAGGCCTAGATGGCCGCATGCACCACTTCACTCAGTGAAACTTTTCTTGCTTTTGGAACCTCCAATAAAGTGGAGACCATCCAGAGCCTGCAGATATCTGCAAATCGCAGGTTCGTCCTAGCCACGCGGGAGGCAAAAAGAGCCCGACCCGCCCGACATATCCGAAGCTCAAGATCTGAGGTTACAGCAGAGGCTGCTCCTGAGACGCGAGTTTCGGCCTTCGGGGGTTCCCAAACAGACCTTGCCAAAGACAAGCGCTAGAGAGGCCGGAGTCCTGGGAACCGATGTTTGCAAGCCTGAGGCTGCTACCTGGGAAGAGGGTAGGGGATCATAGTGGGAGGTTACAGGGCCATAGGGCTGCTAGGTAGGAAGAGCAGGATTCAAGAGGGGTTAAACTCGGTCTTCATCGCGGTCCCAAAAGGTCGCTCTTGCCGACAGCTTGGAGCCTCGATCACGAGAATGCTTGGTCCTGGTTCTGGACGGGCGTGGAGAAGAAGGCCACTCCGGTTCGAATCAAGAGCGTTGCCAGAGCACCCTTGCCTGTCACATGCTCGTACTGCGCTCTGCCTCCCTAGCTTGACGCAGTGCCGCCCGCGTCTGTCAGGTGGAACTGATCCGGGAAACCCTATTCCAATTCTCAAGGCCTCTTATGTTCTTTTAACTCTCAACCCCTTAAGTAATCACCACAAAAATCCCTAAAGCCTGAATTTGCAGCCTCGCCCTCCTCAGATTCTCACTTGGAAGGCCCTTTTTCGAAGAATCCACGATCCCTTAGAGAAGCGGGCCACTGCAACGACGACGATGAGGAAGAAGATGCCGACGCGACTTCCCACGAGTTTGTGACTTTGATTGCGGCTTTGTAAGCTTCGATCTGAACGAATGGTAGCATACTGCATATTACATACATCTTTGCAAGGTAATAGCCCCCTGCAAAGCGCCATAGTAAAATTTGGTACTGTCCCGGCCCTTCTACTTCTACCGAGGCACCAACTCGCCCAGCTCGCCTTGAGATCGACACCTGGGGGATAGGGCCCTTAGGCATCAAAGTGTCCTGGCAGAACTCGCGCACGCCGGGTTCTAGAAGAGGAATTTCGGATTTGGAGAGTTCGGTGGGGTTTTCGACTTAGCTTATAGCGTCGATGGTTTCAGGGTTTAGATGTCGTAGCTGAGGTCGTAAGGTGTAGGAGTTTAGGATCTTGTGACTTTCAAATTTGGGGTTCTAAGTCTTAAGGGTCTTTAGAGGGATCTTGCTTGGTGTCTCTGTGTGTGTGTAAGACAAGAGGGGTTTCATATCCTCTCAGGCTCCCACGGTGAAGCTCTTCTTGGGTCCTGGAAGCGTCTTCGGTTTTCGGTAAGTCTGTTGTGTTGTAGGTTTTTTTCTTCGCAATCTAAACCGAAAGCACGGACTTTCCAAGTCCCGCCCTTGACTCGTCAAGCCTCAACGAAGCCACAACCAGGATGTGGCAAAGGAGGCGGAGGGTAGACCCCATCGTTTTCATAGTTACGGTTATAGTACAAGATACCCCAAGACCCCATTCTAATTAGTAAGGCCCCTACATTAGAAAAGTACAAACGTCACAACAACTTCTTTGTTGACGAGTGTAGTTTTTAGAAGCATCTCGATGATGACGATACTGTAGTGGTACTACCGCTCCTCGGTCAACCTCTGATGGGGCGCCCTACACCAATACGAGGATAGCAAACGATAGCATGTTCCAGGTTCTGCATTGGCCTGGTTCCCTTTTGAAGCCTTGGCAGCGCAGGGTCCTCAGGTCCTTGGAAACCTTTTTGGGGGCTTGCCGGTTTGAGGGTTTCGGGCTTTCGTAGGACAGTGTTGCATTCGTGTAGGCTTCGGGACTTCGTGGCTTCGGTTTAGAGTTGACGGGCTGAATGTCGATGCTCGGGTTGGGTGACAGCCGATGCTCCTGCCAGGCTCGAGTGGTGTGGTCTCCCAACCAACGCGCGCCCATCCCGAGCAAGAATCTGCGCAGATGATGCTCATGATGATCTGGTTGGGTGGCGCAGAAGCTGCATCCGGGCAAGAGTCATCACAGCTAATGCTGGTGAAACCCTAAAACCGAAACCCTTAAACCCCTAAGCCCTAAACCCTAAATGGCCATCCTGGTCCAACCAGACAAGAAGAAGCGCAGCCGATGCTGATGATGCTCGTGCTGGGCTCGGCTTGGGTGGTAGCAGCTAGTGCTGATGATGCTTGGGTTTCGTGGTGTGGTCGACCAGCCGGGGCACGAACTTGCACCGTAGATTAGATGCTCGCGATGCTCGTTTTGGGTGGCGTGGTCGCCCAACCCCGGCAAGAAGCCGCGCGGGCTGACGCTCGCGATGCTCGGGCTGTGTGGTGTCACCCAACCCTGACACGAACCTCATGATGCTGGGTTTCGCGGTGTGGTCGCCCAGCCAGGGCGTGCAGATGATGCTCACCTCATTGGGTGGCGTCGTGGGCAGGAACCAGTACGACAGCTGATATCGCCCAACCATCGCCGGAACCAGCACAGCTGATGCTCATTATATGCTCGGCCTTCATGGTGTCACCCAAACCTGGCAAGCAGTGATGCTCTTGATGCTTAGGTTTCGTGGGTTCATGCTCGCGATGCTCGGGTTTGGGTGGTGTGGTCGCTCAAACAGGCGAGAACTGGCGCAGCTATGCTTGGCTTGGGTTGTGTCATCCAGCTCAGCTCTTGCAAGCAGCGTTCATGATGCTCCGGTTTCGTGGTGTGGTCGCCCATGAACCAAGGAGCAAGAGCCAGGGCATACCAAGGCGGTTGATGCTCGCCATGCTCGCCCAACCATCGCCAGCACAGCAGGTGCTCATGATGCTCGGGTTTCGTGGCGTTGTCACCCAGTTTAGGGCAAGAACCAGCGCGGTTGATGCTCGCCATGCTCGGATTGGGTGGCGTGGTGGGCAGGAACCAGCGCGGCTGATGCTCATAATGCTCGGTGTGGGTGGTGTGGGCGCCCCACCAGGCGACAACCAGTGCAGCTAATGCTCATAATGCTCGGGTTTGGTTTGGAGGTCGCCCAACCATCGTCAGAACCACCACAGCTGATGCTCATGGTGCTCGGCTTGGGTGGTGTCACCCAGCCCTGGAAAACCCAGCCCTGGAAGGCAGCTGATGCTCATGATCAAGAACCATCGCGGTTGATGCTCACGATGCTCGGGTTTGGTGGTGTGATGGCCAAGCTCGATTTGGGTGGTGCAGGCGACAACCAGTGCAGCTATTGCTCATCATGCTCGGGTCTGGTTTCGAAGTCGCCCAACCATCGCCAGCACCAGCACCAGCTGATGCTCATTATGCTCGGCTTGGGTTGTGTCACCCAACTCTGGTAAGCAACTGGTGCTCATGATGCTTGGGTTTCGTGGCATTGCCACCCAGTTTAGGGCAAGAGCCAGTGCGGTTGATACTCGCAATGCTCAAGTTGGGTGGCGTGGTGGGCAGAAACCAGCGCGGCTGATGCTGATCATGCTCGGTTTGCGTTGTGTNNGTGCTCGGCTTGGGTTGTGCCACCCAGCCCTGGTAAGCAGCTGATGCTCATGATTCTCGGGTTTCGTGGCATTGCCACCCAGTTTAGGGCAAGAGCCGGTGCGGTTGATGCTCGCAATGCTCAAGTTGGGTGGCGTGGTGGGCAGAAACCAGAGCGGCTGATGCTGATCATGCTCGGTTTGCGTTGTGTCGTCGCCCAACCACGCGAGAACCAGCCCGTGGTTTCGAGGTCGCCCAACTATCGCCAGCACCAGCACAGCTGATGCTCAGGATGCTCGGCTTGGGTGGTGTCACCCAACCCTGGTAAGCAGCTGATGCTCGTGATGCTCGTGCTTCGTGTTGTGGTCCGGCCGCGATGCTCTAGTGTCTCCAGTTGGGCGGCGTGGTCGCCCAAGCTGGGCAAGATCCATGCTCTTGATGCTCGGCTTGAGGTTCTGGCGGGAGCTGGCAGGGAAAGAAAGCCTTGAGATAAAATTCTCTGGTGATAGGTTGAAGGGTTGAGGGATGCTGAAGAAGCTTGAGCAAATGCGGTTATTGCATAGGGTTCCTGTTTGTAAGTATAGTACAACATACCCCAATGCGCAGGCCTCCCGTGCTTTTATTCTTCAATCGCCGCACCCGGGCTACTGCTGCTGCTTTGGTATCCTTGCAATGCTCCAACAACTTGCAGACACCTCAGGATGAACAGCAGATACATAGGCTTGGAGCTTTGACCACGCCTCTCCATCCATTTCAAAGCTCACCGTGCCCGGGCCCAGGTTATATCGATGCCGCCCGCTCGACGCTGGATCGCCTGTGGCCACTTTGACTTTGATTGTGGGCTTCCAGTTGGGTCTTTGTGTGGGTCTTCAAGAGCCGATTTGGTTAATGCTGGTGGTGAATTTCTTTTCGGTTGTGGGACCGGCGGTGTTTTGATGACGGTAGCGGCACATTGTGACTAACGAAAGTCTGCGTTTTGCATTCATACGGAAAAATCGGTGCATGCCTGAAGTTCCTGGATCTCAGGTGGACGGTTCCTGCATGTTCCTGCAGCCAAATACTGCTGGCAGAAGCACATTCATGTTGACTGCACCTAGGACCCTGACAGACACGGAAGCATCATTCTTTGTAGGGGCAGAACCCAAAGGGTCGCAATCGAGGTGGTCCCACTACAACGCCGCTTGTTCGGAAGCCCCCTGCTCGGGCGCCATGCCGCATCCGTTGTCGCGAGGGCATGGAAATGGAAGCGAGAAATGTAAAATGTCGGACGTCAGGT